CCTTTCTCCTTTATTCAATGTCCAACTCTTCCTGGATAAATATTTCTACTCTTGGCCCTTTCTATAACTTATCATTGCCTCTTCATAACTTACCTCTTCAACCTCCCAACTATAATTAGAGTGCGCTGACAAAATAGAAAATGACCCGTTCCACTCTGATTAAGTTACTTTGATGTGTCCCACAATGACATGGAGGAAGTAATGATGCTGCTGGAATTGCATATCATTTGATTGTGTAACCATATACCTCATCATTACCACATATTTCACCCAGGGGAGTTTTTTCTTTTTCTCTCCCTAAACATTTGCATGGAAGGAAGTGCTAGTAGCAGAAAAATCTTACCTTGGACCTGGGATGGAAGCATCAGACAAGAGAGAAGCATCCAGAAGACACTGGGGAGGGCTATGTAAGGCAGCATTATGTCTGCGTGTCAGGAAGAAATCAGAGATCAATGGAGGAAAGGCGATCAGAGAGAGAGAGAGTGAATGTAGAGACCTCCTGTATTCTATCTCTTGCGTTCTCCTTGATACTCTAGAAATAAATTGACGTGGGTGGCCTTCACCCCTTTTTGTAATTCTGAAAAGGCCTGTAGAATTCGTATCACTAATTCCCTTAAGACATCCCTTTGCTAGGTCTGAACATCTATGTTCTAGGAAGACTGGTTCCCTCCTGCATCTTCCCCCCATAGTGTGTGAAGGAAAACTGATGTGTCTCTCCTTCCTGTAGATCCCATTTACCTGTCTTCCTGGGCTCTGAGATGGTCAGGCAGGAAGGCCTGTACTTTTATAGGAAGACCAGAGGGAGGGGCATAAAGATCAAAAATAGGAATGTGTAGGTGGTACAGAAGGCATGAGGGAAGACTTGGCATGGGTTCAAGGGAATTCCTACCATAGGGAGGAGATTTTTCCCAGGAGAGACTGGGAATTGCACAGACATTGCCTGTTTCCTGTTAATTGTCCAGTATTTACTTCAGGAGCGATTGAAGTTTGCCCCTTTTCCAGAGTCCTTTTTTTTTTTTTTTAATTAATCAATTTATTGGGGCTCATACAATTCATCACAATACATAGATCAATTGTGTAAAGCACATCTATACATTTGTTGCCCTCATCATTCCCAAAATTCTCTTGCCTCTTGGGTTCCCGGAATCCGCTCATTTTCCTTCCCCCCCTTCCCTTCCTTCTCCCCTTTCCCCCATGCACCCTTAATAATTTATAAATTATTTTGCTTTATTCTGGCAGATTAAAGAAATGATTATACCCCCCGTGGCACACATTTTGGTGTGTTACAAAGTGTTATGGATTGAGTTTTATTCCTCCCCTCCTACCTAATATATGTCAATTTGTCTGGACCATGATTCTCCATACGATGTATTTATCCCCATTTTGCAATTTAATACATTTATACTATGCATTGTAAATCCTAACCTCTAGAATGTTAATGAGGTAGGATCAGTGGTGATTACGCTAAAGAGGTAGAATGCAGTCTGAAGGATTAGCTGGCTGTCAGTCAAGTCAAGGAAATAGTGTCTATTTCTTTTGAAATATAAAAACAATTAGATAAATGAACAGTGATCAGAGGAAAGTCCTATCACCAAGAAAAAAAAGAGAGAGAACTCAGAATTGAGAACATTCTTTGATCCCTCCTGGATCCATGGGAAGATTAATGCAGAGGTATGTAGAGATTCTCCCCAAACGCCGACCACACAGATGTTGACGTGAGTCAAGAACCCCTTCTTCTAGAGCTGACTGAGAAAGAAAGGAGGCCCCTAGGGCTGGTGTCCTGAGTTTGCACTTCAAGCCTCCCAAGCAGAGAGAGAATGCATTTCTGTTTGTCAAAGCTGTGCACATATGGTTATAGCAGCACTAGATAACCAAGACAAATATGAAAGAGAAAACTGAGGCAAAGGAAAGTTAAGTGGAATAAGACATCAAAAGAAGGGCACTTTATGTTTGATGTATCTGTTGGCATCAACTTGATGATGTTAGGCTTGATCAGCAACTAACTCACGTTCACTTTCATATGAACAAAGCTATTGACTTCAATAGGATGCAGTTTCTGCAGACCAGTTTTAACACTTGAACTTAACTGACTAAATGAGAAAAATATTTGTGAGAAGATTTAGGGGGAAATGAGTATTTGATTATGTTAAAGTATTGTACAAAGGGCCTTCAAAAAGTTCATCTAAAATGGAATCAAGGTAATATTTACTTTTCACAAATGTTTTGAAACTTATTTGTATGACTTTATGCATGAATATTATATTGTAGTTATATTTGAGAGAATTTCTAATATTTAGTGCTAAATAATAATACACTTTTAACTAAATCCTAGAAAAGATGATTCTTTCTAAAAGTATATTATTATGTATCTATAAATATTAGCAATCCTCTGAAATAGAGTGGTGATGATTGGTTTAGCTAGATTAAATATATACTGGGACTCATCTCATCATTATTTTGAGTTTATTTGAATAGTTTTATGGAAAAAAATTGAGAATCAAAAAATTAAGGGTCAACATCAAAAGGCAAATCCATGACCAATCTGGCTTAAGAACATAGATACAGCAAAAGAGTAAGCAATTCAATCCACTGATGTATAAAACAAATTATGAGAGAGTAGATTTGTCCCCATAAATGTAGGATCATTTATTGTGAACATTTATTAGTGAAATTCTTAAATTAAAAAAATGAAAGAGAAAAATATGGCAATTTAAAAGGAAAAAAATCACACCCTACAGCAATAACCAATGAGTTTCATTGAAATGGTAGTGAATTAAACAGACTAAAAAGTAAAACACTGAAAGCATTTCTTTAAGTATCAGAAATTTGAAAGATATCCAAGACTCACTGATTCTATTTAACAATAATACTGAAATATAAGAAAAGGAAGCTTAAAATGGGAAATCGAGTAAATAAAAGAGTTGGACTTCGAATAAGGAAGACTGAAAAATCAGTTCATGAAGCAGCAGTAGAAAGATCGAATGATCGATCGAATTACCCATTGCATTGGGTAAATGGGCTGCAAAGACCCTTTGAGACAGTTGTCAAGCAGGAAAGTTACTGTGAGGACTCTGGGACGCCTGCTCTGAGCCATGACATTTTCAACTGTCCCATGTGCATGTGCGAGCTAGACATTGAATAAGCAAATCTGAAGAAGAATCGATGCATTTGAATCATAGTGTTGCCAACAGGGGCATATGAGGACGTGGAGGAAGGGATATCGTCCTTGGTAAAGTAGAGCATCAGTAAAAGAGAGGAGGACCCTGAATGACAGAGTCATCAGGCTGTGAACTCAGAGCGTGTACATTACCCATGACCATGAGGTTGGAGTGCGGGTACAGAGGTGTCTAGTTTACCTATGGGAACTGAAATTCCTGAATACCTACACTGGATGGAGGGGGCTTGTCCCTCTGATCCGTGGTTGAATGGTAAGAGAGCATGCACTATCAGTCCTGGGGGAGCTGGATGGTGGGGCAGGAAGCTGAAATGGGGTGCGTGTCCAGTCACTAGTTGGTGGTGTGGCAGCATACCACAGATCATGTAGCAGATGAGGACTCGTGCATTACTACTCAGTGACAAAGTGAGGAAATGGCAGGAGAGAGTGCATGCCCTCACGGTGGATGTCCATGCTCTCTAAAGGAAGCAGATTGGGAACTAAAAATATATAGAGAAAGAGTATTCGCCTTTGATCAAGGCCATTTCCTTCTGTAAAAATAAGAGAGGAATTTTTTTTTCCCTGAGGCCTTTGATTTACCTTTGCATTAGACCTGAATTTTAGAAGGCTGGTGATCAGAAAATTAAGATTCCTGATGTCCATGGAAGGGATGAAAACACCAGGGAAACTGTGACTGACAGGTGAGTGTAATTATTTGCTAAGCTACATTAACCTAATATATACTAAAAAAAACTGGTGTACTCAATGGAGTTCTCAGATACTCTTTCCTGATTCAAAGCACAATACCATCAATGCCTTTTTATCTAATAAATAAATCATATTGTGTCTTTTTTCTTTATAACAACTCATCTGGAAGCAGTGACCTCCAATAGTGCTTTGATTTACACAACGTTTAAACTGCCAGTCAATGCTATCTGTTATTTCCATTGAACATTAAAATTACCCTGTATGTTAGGCAGGGCAGAGATCTTAACATTACAGCAAAGAATTTCAGGATCAGAGAGACAGCCTGACTTTGTCCAGGTCACGTTGCAAGTTTGTGGTCATTTTAAACTGAGCACTCAATTCTGTTCCACATTTATTCCTTTCTTATACCCATGCTCTGTTATTTGAATTAAAATCCCTCAGGGATTCAGTGGCAATGACTTAAATTCTGAAAAGAGCCAATTAATTCCTCCCTGACATGGTAGGTTTTTTAAATATCTCACCCCATTTGATGGTTTCATTAATTTTAGAACATCTTATTTGCTTCCTGTTAATGGGCTTTTCCACAGGTGATTGGTTATTTACTTTTTCTGCCTTTCACACAGAGTTTAAATGTCATTTCATACAAAGATATCTGCTGCATGGAATAATTAATTTTTGAAAGCAGACAGAATATGCTCTGAATCATTTAGTCTGGATTTTGGCCACGAGCCTCAATGTTCTCATCTGGACATCTTATATATGCGTAGATCACAAAGGTGCCTGTGTATATGAACATAAGTTCCGAACACTGGTTTTTTTCTTTGTAACAAATAAGTCATGTCTTCCCAAATTCTGTAAGATAGCATCTCTTCTACTAATTATTCTAGCTCTTGGTAATGCAAGAGCTTAATTACAGTTCATAATGCAAAAATCTATCTGTTATAGGAGGAGCCCAGTGGACTGTGTGAAACCAGTGTAGTAGTCACACCATTTCTTGTCAACTTGATAAGTAAGAATGAAGCGTTGGAGTCTACCCTCTCAATCAGGTCACAGCCTGATGATCCCTCCTTGTGGGCATGGCCTTCTCATGACTGGTACTTCCTCTCCTCCTCCCAGGAGGCAGGCAACACTCCTCTCTCTGCTTCACCTGCCTGTTGAAGAGCCACACTCAGAGAGCTGGACGAGCTAGAGCTGAGATGCTTCCACCAGCATTGCAGCCACAAGACTTTACCCACTGGCTGCATTCAGCATCTTCCTGCATTTGGCATCGTTGCATGTGTTGCATGAGCCTAAATAGAAATCTATGGATGAATATTGGACATATGGGCTAATGCCAGGTCTTGACCTGGACTTGGCTGGGATGTTTGTTGAATGTACAATTGCTCTTTGATATAAAGGTCTCTCTTACACACATATGAGCATCTCTGGTTTTGGATCTCTAGTCTACCTGGACTAACACAAGCCACATGTCTAAAAGGGAACAGAACATAGAGAAAGTAAAAGAACATTCCAAAGCCAGCACAGTAAACCACAGAAAGGCATACAAACCAAACTCTA